TATCTAAACTTTTTTCCAGAGAATCCTCTTTATTAACTAAACTTGTTTCTAGAGAATCCTCTTTATTATCTAAACTTGTTTCCAGAGAATCCTCTTTATTAACTAAACTTGTTTCCAGAGACTTTTCATGTTCGTTGTCGATTTTGAGATATTTATTTACATTGTTAATAACCATTTCAATTACATGACGTTGCAAGATTCCTTTAACCAAGTTTTTACTAGGTTTATTCCCAGAAGATAAGCAGCCATATTTTCCCAAAAGCTCCTTTAAAGCTGTATAATCAATATCGACTTTTTTTAAAGAACAAAAATTATCAAGCTGATGTTTTAAGTCTTTGATGTCTTCTACCAATTGGCTGACACTATTAGGATTATGATCATTAATACGAAAATTTGTTGCTTTACCCAATGCTGATTGATATTTGGCAGTTTCGACTCTTAAAGATTTATGTTCATCCATTAATTTTTTAATTCGATGGTTGCCTGATTTCAATTGGGCTTCTAAATCACCAACTTTCTCCAAAAGTTCTTTATTCTCATTTTTTAGTTTTTCTAGTTCTTCTATTTGTTGATTATAGTTAGGTTGATCATGTCTTTTTCGATTCCAAGAATATTTTTTATAAGATGCATTAGGCTTAAAGTTATTCTTATAATTAGTTGATTTATGATTTGCATTTGAAATCATTTTTCCTGAAGCATTTATTCTATTAGAAGGTTGATCATATTCAGGTTCTGTTGAATGATTATTTTCATCTTTGTTATCAATATCCATGTCGTGGTTTTCATTAACAAGAAGATCGATTTTGTCGAGTAAATCTCGTTTTGAAACAGAAATATGACTTAAAAAAGATTTAATGTATTCAGTAAATTTGCTATATCTAGAAATTCTATAATTAGTATTTTGTGATTCCGGAAATCCTTTAAGGTAAGAATTAGTGGAAAAGGTTTCAATGTCAATTTTAAGCTTATCTGTTTGTTGAATCACGTTGGTATAAATTTTTTCAATATTTTCTGGCGGTACACAAAGTTGGATGTGTTTTGAATTAGAAAATTGTTGCTTTGCCTCATTAAATTTGTCTAAAAGAGTTTTCAACCATTCAATAATTTCTTCGTAATTGGGAATTTTTTCCTGTTGGCTATTTCTTTTTGATTTACTATCAGGAATATAAGAATTCGCATCTTGTTCTGTTTCAAGTAGCAATTTTTCAAATTTGCGTAGCAATTCAACAAGTGGTTGATTTGCATTTGTTCCTGCATATTGGTTTAATTGGTTTTCGGAAAGATTATTTTCAGAAATAGAATTTTCAAGGATTTTCTGGAGATTATTATTTGCTTGTGAAATACTGTCTTTTAAAAGATCATTAAGTTGTTGGCATTGCTGATATTGATTCTCAAAATCGGCGGTAATATCTTGGGGTAATTCTTTTTTAAAAAGAATTGCTACAAATTCATGTGACCATTCGTTGAGTTGGCTATAATTATTCTTGTTATAAGAGTCGATTTTTTCATTGAATTTTGTGATTTCTTCATCTAGTTCTAATAAAAATTTGTCAAAAGAATTTAACCAAATTGTGAAATTCCTAAGTTCACCAGAATTTGCTTTTGATTTAATATTTGTCACTTGATTTTTAGCATTATGAATATTTTGTATGAAATCACTTAATATTGCATCAAATTTATTTCTAATTTGTGTTAAATTATCATTTCGACATGAGGAATTTGTAAGAAAATTTTGAGACATTTGTATTTTATTGGCTTTAAAATCCTATCGATATTTTAAATTTTAATGATATATATATATATATCATTATTTCCTGTATCACATTATCTCCCAAATACATACATGCATATAAGTGCTGCACCATTTAATTGCGTATTATGCTTTTCATGATACACTCATATGTAAGGTTGAGTTACATAAGTTACAATTTTACATTAAATGTAATTTTACAGAAAATTAAATTTCATGTAATTTTCATAACGTTGTCATAAAGTACCAATTTTACAAAAGTTAGGCTAGTATTATTGTACCATTTGATATGAATGTACAATCCGAACTGTAAATCTAAATCGCCAAAAATTTGATTTCAGTAACTAAATATAATGTGAGACACCGATTTAACAAATAAACGAATAAGTAAACTTTTCAACGACAAAGATTATTATTTCAAATTTATTGGAAATGAAATAATTTATGCATCACTCATTTGGAAATGAATACGTTATCTATTTCCGTAATTCTGAAACTCCTTATTTGTATAATTTAATGTCCGTATTCCGTTGTTAAAGCATTCTATTTTAAAATTCCTAGCTTTCACTTGTCAGCATCCATATGTAGACCGATATTACCAACCCATTTTTCGATTTCCTTTTTTGGAAAGTATTTAATTAAAATTAAGGTTAGGGTTAGTTCGAGGATAAGGATATGGCAAGTATTGGGCGCTTTCAAGCAAAAATTCTGTTCTCCTGAGCAGATATTGTAGTGGATCAGGTGCATACATATTTACGCAATTATCTTCAATTGTTTCCCTGCATATTATAATTGTCCTTAGATTCATGAGATAAACCATGAAACACTCCATGGAATACACTACTAAGAAAGTGCCCATTATAGGTAAAATTACTCCCCCGACATTTTTAATTGGTGCTTCAAGATAGGTTTAGACACTCGTTTCTTGTATTTTTTTGGTTTTTTTTCTTTTTTTTGCTTCGTAAAAATTTACAATGTGATTGGCTAATTTATGCAGATCTTCCAAAAAAGGAAATCGAAAAATGGGCCGGTCCCATATGTATAGCAAATTATTTAAATTATTTGTTATGGCACAGCAGTACAGTCAGGTATTTTTCAAATTCGTGTAACACAGATCATTTCTCTTTTTGGTAAAAGATCTTCAATTGGAAATTCTTTGGCACCAATCATTTCTCATATGATAATTTACGTTGAAATAAGGCAGCCAATTAACGGGCATTACTCGTATATTACGATTTTTGTTCATAGTTTAATTTTGAAGTAAAATAGCTCGCGTTGTAAAGAAATCAGGCTATTCATCCACATTATAACAGCAATTTACAATTGTAAAAACTCATTTAAAAGATTTTTAATACAAGTTACACGTCCTTCAATAGTTTTTCTTAAAATCGTGCGTAATTTAATGAAACTGTACTATCGTACATGTCCCCACGGATTCCTAAACTATATAGTCATAGAATAACTTTTGAAAAAACTGATTGTTATTTTTAGATAATAAAAAATGCTTTTTTAAATAGAAATCGGTTTTAGAATAACCTTTTAGTATATTGCAAATCATTTCTATTTCGCGTAAAATACCTGACTGCAGTAATTTAATACGGCATTTGAAATCGTTGTTGTTTCGGAAGTGTTTTTCCGTTTCTATGGCAATATAAACTTCTATTCCTTTTATAGCGGCCTTTCAATCAATTTGATATTTGATTCCACGAAAATATTTTCTTTTTACAAAAGTTCAATATTATAATGGAACTTTATTATATTGAAAGACGCGTGTATCATTTCGATTTCGTACCGGAAATCTCGGCAGACATTCGCGTCGTTGTTGGTTTAGGTAAAATGGAGAATTGCGTTTGTCTATCTTATTTAATTAATCAATTTTATTCATTCCTTTGTATTTATAGATTTTGGAACAACTTACTCGGTAATTCAAAAGCTGGTTAACTTTAATCATTCTATTCTCGTTTTTGATTAACAAAAAAATTTTTTTTTGTTGGCGATCATAGGGTTTCGCATATGCAAATGTTGAAACTTGTGAAGTTATTAGTAATGAGGATTGGCCTGGGAAGAAAGGTCCCCAAAAAATTCCCACTGTATTACAATATGATGAAAATTTTCAACAAGTCATATTATGGGGATTTGATGCTGTAGCTAGCGAGCCTATAAAACGCAAAAAGAAAGTCAAATCTACTCAATCGAGACCTATCGAACTTTTTAAACTCCATTTAGGAATGATTCCAGAAGAGCAAAAACCAGCATTACCATCAAATATTACCCCCGAAAGGGCTATCACTGATTATCTTCGAGAAATGGGTGTGTGGTCAAATACTTGGTATAACTAAATAAATCTAATTTATTAAACTAATTTTTATACAATTATAATGTAGGCGGGGTAAGACTATTTGCAATATATCTTAAATAAAGTTCTTTCTTACTTTTTTCAATTACAGTAGATGACTCCTTTTGATTTTAATAGATTATTAAGGAAGAAGTTGAACGTCGTTGGCCAGGAATTGACTTTTTTAAAAATGTACGCCTAATAGTAACAATACCTGCAGGTAATTATTTATATTATTTATAACTATTTTTGGTAATTTTAACGAATCAGGTTGCTTTTGATAAACTGTAGAATTTACTGAAGAGACTAAATCGATCTTGAGAAACTGCATATTTGAAGCTAATTTAATTGATAACTCTGGCACGCAAAATTTAAAGTTTACCACCGAACGTAAGTGCAATTTTATTATATAATTTCCAGAACAAAATGAATGCATATATTAATTTGAAATTTTAATAATGTTTAGCTGAAGCTGCAGCTGTACATTGTATCAAGAAGTTAAAAGAACATGGGTTGAAGGCTGGAGGTATATCATTATTTTATAGATATTATTAAAATTTCTGCAATGGTAAATTTTAAACTTACAATACTTTATTTTTAAACAAGACAAATATTTGGTAGTTGATTGCGGTGGTGGGACAATAGATTTGACTGTAAGAAAACTGCTTGAGAATAATCAGCTTGGAGAAGATACTGAACGTTCCGGAGATTTTTGTGGTGCCACATATGTTGACAAAGAATTCTTGAAATTTCTCGAGGACAGGGTCGGAAAAGATGCAATAAAAATGTTGCGCGAAAAACATTACAGTCAACTTAGCTATATGGTTCAACAGTTTTGCGATCGTGTCAAGACTCGCTTTACCGGCAAAGAGTCAGAATTCAGAAAATATAATTTAGATATTGAAAAAACATGCCCAGCTCTAAAACAATATGTTAGTGGTAGTGTTAGAGATGAGTTATCAGATGAAGAGGATTGGGAGATTGACATTGACTTTGAAACAGTTAAAAGCTTTTTTGATCCCGTTATCAATAAAATTCTTCGCTTAATAAGTGTTCAACTCTCTAAAAGTATGTGCTCAGTAATGTTTTTAGTTGGAGGTTTTAGTGAATCTAAATACCTTCAACAAAGAATTAAGCAAAACTTTCCAGAGTGTAAAGTTGCAGTTCCACCTCATCCTATGGCGGCAATAGCACGTGGGGCTGTTGAATACGGATTAGATATGGATGCCATTAAAAGTCGTGTATTAAAATGGACCTATGGTGTTGCAGTTTATCCAATATTTCAAGAAGGTGATCCATTATCACGTAAAACTTCAAATGGACGTATACAGAAATTTCGTTTGATGGCTAAAAGGGGCGTTCAAGTGGAAATAAATCAACAATTTTCCACCAGACAATATCCAGTTGAACCGAATCAAACAATGATACTTTTTAGATTTTATTATACCCCAAGGAAATCAGCGCAATATTGTGACGAATCTGGAATGAATAAATTAGGAGAATTTCGTGTTGATTTACCAGACACTCATTTAGGCATTAACAGGCCTGTGTTACTTACACTATGTTTTGGATCGATGGAAATCATTGCAATAGCAAAGAATGAAACAAATGGAAATGTTTATCAAACAGCATTTGAATTAGATTTATAAATTAATTTTTCCTTATTTTAAATATTACTGTATTGGATATTATATTCGAAATATATTTATGTTCATTTTATTCATTTTCGTGCATTATTTTATATGTATCTTAGAATTCAATTTCATGTCATACCATACTCGTTGATTTAGCAACTTGAAATGTGTTAAAATTTAATTTCATAAACACAACAAAAATCTCTGGATTGTATTAATATTTATTATGCTAAATATAACGTGTCCAATGATAAGTAGAAATCAAATGTTTGATGCAATTTGTTTTACCCAGTGTTATGTATGGGCTAGACTATCTATGAATTGATCTTGCATGAGCTAGGCTTGGATGTCAATATGAATTTTTGCGATGGACCAAGTTAAAAATTTTGAATCTTTGAATATATGCGAAATTAGATGGTTAAACAATAAAGTAAAAAAAAATATGAATTTATAACTTTAAATTCTATTATATTTCATTATTTGTGTTTTGATAAGAGTAATTATTCGCTTACATCAGTTTTGTGTAATGTCACGCACTGTACATCAATTTTTTTTGACAAATAAAATCGCATGGTTGTTTTTGTTTTTTTTAGATGCGATAATTTAATTTATTTTATTGGTTAAAAAACAGTATACTAAAATGCACCATTGGTGTTTAACAACATAGTTCTATATCTCAAAATCTACTAGCTAACTTACGTAAGATGTACTAAGTTAGAATGTTCAGAACCCTAAAAACCTTTTATATCTGACCCCTATCTTAATCTTTAGCTGCATCCTAATCCTAAATTTTAGTAAAAAATATTAACACCATAAACACAAAGGTTCGTAATGACGAAACTGATGTACGAAAATAAATACTCTTAGATAAGTTGTATTTTATTTTGTTTTATTTTATTTTGCACTTTTATTTGTTTTTCTTGGTTGTGCTAATAAATGCTAAATCCTAACTCGCGTTTCACCCTGAAATTTCTATTAAGAATAATTTGTTAAAATAGCAGAGTAACCAATTTTGTTCATTAGCAACTATAAAGAATCTGTTCCAATGAGGTTGTTTGTTAAAGTTTCTAATTTTAATCAGAAATTGATTTTTTTAAGTAGAACAAATCCAGAAATTTATATTAGTTATTATTACGAAAAATTGAGCTTCCGCAATCAAATAGTGTCGTTAACCAACAGGGCGATCGTTCAAATTCGTAGATTATTCCGATATGGTTACATAGTCATAAACAATTTTTTTATACGTTTTACAATACTTTTAAAAGTTCGGGTATCTTAATTTTCTATGAAACGAGAGTAAATTTAACGAATGAATTGATGTTTTTGCTTTGTTCTATAACATATTCTTTGAATCCCATGAATTCCATAACTTTTATTGTAATCTGATTGGCCGATATGCTAAAACTCGAGATATGATTGGTTGACAAACACGTGTATTGTATAGGAATAACAACTACCCCAACAACACCCCAAAAAATTCTGTAAAACGTGAGCACAAGCCAATCACAGTTGAAGATCGAGTGTAACGTAACACAATCCGAAAAATTAAAAACAACCGTTCTTTTTGCCAAAAATCGCCCATAACTCAAAAATCTACATAGGAAACCATCTTTAGTGTTCTAACAAAAAGTTTTCCGTGAGAGATTTTACTATATATTACATCAATAGCAAACACTAATATAATCACTAACCCCAGTATTAACAACCTTTTAAGAGTATTATTATCGCAGAATTTTCGGGGTGTTGTTGGGGTAGTTTAGGAATAACACCATAAAAAATGTTTGGTAGCACAGCACAATATTTGTACTACATACTGACCAGTAACAATTCACCAGTTTGTATCACTATAGAAGGACCTATCATGATCAGACAAAATATATGTAGAGTTTCAATCCAGATAAATCCGTTATCCGGATAAAACCGTTATCCATTTACCTCCAGGAGCGACCGTACTCGGTTACACAAAATGCAGATCACTTCTGATAGCTTCCGTCACCAATTGGCCAATCAAATTCATGGATAATCATTGGAATTACATTGTCGAAATTAATTTATTTTTATTTTTTTTTTAGTTAGCAGCAGCAATGCTTAATAAATTTTAATTTTATGAAACAAAGCTAATAATGCAAGGGATTTAAACGATTCAATAATGCAAGGGATTTAACATTCAATAATGCAAGGGATATAATAATTCAATAAATAAATTTTTATTATAATAATAATTTTTTTTTATAAAAAAATATTAATGCTGTGTAAATTACAATGCAAGAAATGATTTTTTCGTAAATTCTAATTTCTCCTCTATTGTCATAATATTATCTGTTACACTTTTCATGTTACTACAATCGTTATTCACGTTTTCACTCTTTTCATCTATTGATTCGTTTTCTATCTTCTCTTTTGTCAAACTTGTTATCAGTGCCGTAACATTATTTTTAACCTTACCCTTAAGATAATCGAAACATATAAGGCATTTTGATTAACTTTTTTGCAAACAAAGTTTATGATAGCCATGGCCACATGCCAAAATACTTCCATCAGACGAATTGCTATCACAATATATGTAATCGCATAGGATAGCAGTATTGGGTTTCTTAGAAGTAACAAAACCTCTTTAAAGATGACGATCAGTTACTTCATAACCTAAAGAAATAAATTTATATGTATTAATATTATCAAATGAAGATTGAATAATTAAAGGATATTGATCGCACATTTGATATATCTTTGTGAATGCGCCTAAAAGTAATGTAGTGCATTTCTTAGAGAGCATTTTCAATTGCTTTGGGTATATGGATATTTTACAGAATTCACAAATTGTTGTCAAAATTCACTATCATCATGATTTTGAAAAATAAAATGTGCTTCTGTCTATAATTGTTTGGCCGTGAAAAACTTGGGAGTACGTCAGTGAATAATACTGTGAACAAGTTCTACAGGACGATCACTTAGTGAAGCAAGATGATTAGTAAACATGTAAAAGATTGGATGATGAGTTTCTATCCAATAAAAAATATCAGAAAAAAATATTAAAGGGGCACATTTATAGTTTATGCAATCGAATTGAAGAAAAAGATCGCTCTAGCAATGCATGCAAGCTTCCTCGTAAGCTGACCAATTACCCTCCCAATGGTGTACTGCATATACATCAAGAACTAGATGGATCAAGTTGTCTAGCAGATCAGTTAAATATAAAAACTTATGTTCTTTATATATGACCGAACTTTAAGTAGATAATATCAACTATATCCAACCATGCTGCATATATGATATAAAGAATTAAATCGATTCACCATGGTTGTGGCTTCTTACTTATGTTTTTATTTGTCCTGAATATACCTTTATAGATTTCATTAAAAAAAAAGAATTTTGTAAATAAACAAGCTCACAAAAATTCAAAGAAATATGAAGAGGATCCATAACAGGCAAAAATGCAGTAACAAACAGTAGAATTGTTGTATTGTTAAGAAGGATTCGTTGTGCAATAGCTTTGCAGATAAAAAATTGCCCCAGTTAGTCTGCGATGATAGAAACAGTATGATTAAAATGATACATATTAAATGGTTCACAATTATATACGATTTGGAGAGCTTGTATATAATTTTCCATATTTTTCAACTTGCTTTCAACAAAATTAACAAGAATGCCATGCTTAATATGGTGTTTGCTTTTCTTCTCAACTAATTTGTCATTATAGCTGTGTAATATTAGCCTGTCTAAAAGCTCATCATCAGTACATTCTTTTTCTACATAATTCCACATATGTCTTTAATTATAATAAGAAATTCCAAGGTTGGTGATAAATCGTTTATCAAGGTGCCTTACAATTAACTCATCATTAACGATCTTTAGATTTACTATTTTATATCAAAATATCACAGATGTGGGATATGGATTAAGTAAAATTGTTGCTATATGCAATGGGTGAGACATTTCTTTAGTATCAGGTTGCCTGAGAATATGTATATTGTAATAATCATCAATATTTAACACCAGGACATTTTTTGAAGATCTTATAAGAGCATTATCCACGTATTTTCTGTGTACATCTGATGTTTGCTTCTTTCTATGCTCTACTGTTCTTGCCATTGTGGATATACCAAGATTTGCCATCGTATTCAGACCTTCATTTGTTGTGCCTACTGAATCTAAGTAATAAGCAAGATCAAGCTTAAAAGCATTAATTTTGATATTATTTAATGAAGCAAGAAGATAACATACTAATACTATTAATTTTTTTATACAGCCAATCATTTGCTCATTACATTCTTGTAGATAATCTGAAGAATAAAGTTGATCAAGAAAATCTAACAAAATTGGATTAGTTGTTTTAAATAATTTTCGCATTTCATCAAATGAATAAATAGGGCTTTCTTTTCTTATATATTCTTTTTCATAAAAAGCTTTCACCATTGTTTTAATGGCTTTAATAAGTTCAATTTTCATATTTGCATCTTTATTCATTCTTACATCATCTACTATACTTACCTCTTCCTCATCTACAGCTTCTTCTTCCAAGTTTTCTATGATTTTTACTCTTTTAGGGTCCCTGCTTCTATAAGATTTATGTAACAACAGTTACATAAAATAATACCTTTCTTTCAGTTTGCTTTCACTAAACCATTATTTTTAGCTTCTTCCTACTTTTTTCTGTTCAACGAACGGAATCTAGATGACTTAGAAGCTGGACATGTGGTACACTTATTACTTTCAGTCATGTTTTTATTATGTAAATCTTAATATAAAAGTTGGTGGATTCAAGTAGATTCAACTGATATTACGAAAGTATAGCACGAAAGCTAAAGTTTGCTTAGTATACTTAATTATGTTTCATAGAATAAATGAGGTATTCGAGCTTTTTAAAAAGTAAAAAAAAACACAAAAAATTTTTTAATTAACTGTGATTGGCTGATTAGCATGTGATATTAATTTTTGGTTGGCTAGAGGATTTCAGAAGTGATCTGCATTTTTATAACTGAGTACGGTCACTCCTGGACTATTTACCTGCATGAATA